ATGTCACTCAGCTTGAGGGGCCCCGACTTTCCGTCCTTGTCACTCCCGGCGCCGCCGGCACCGCCCGCGCCGCCCCCATTGGAGGCGACCGAGGAGAGTTTGGAGGAGGGCGAGGGGTCGGGCTTCCCGATCTGCGAGCAGGTCTGCGCCAACAGTGCCAGCGGGCTCTTCTTAGCATCCAGCTGCGGGGTCATTCGTGGGTGGTGGTGGGGGCACAAAAAGAAACAAGGGGAGATCCTTTAGAACCCTGGCTTCTAGGATTCCAACGCCCCCACCCCCACCCCTCCGCCGCCGCAAAGATCCTCCCAGCCCCGAGGCGCAATTCTAGGCGGCACCCCTACACACACACACACACACACACACACACACACACACACACACACAGGCTGAAAAAACTCATGTGAGGAGAAAGGTAGCAGACTCCTCTCTCCCCCAAACTGGATCTTACATGTCCTTGCTAAGCGCTAAACTGGATTTTAAAAAAACTCACAAAATGTTTTGGTTTCTGACTCCTAGACCCAGAACTGTACACCCCCCGCCCCCGCCATCCCATCCCTATTCTTCAGAGTTAAGGGTTCAGGAGGTTTCCGCCTGAGAAGCTGTGTACCAGCTTCTGGGGAACCCGAGGACTGCGACTTGGGAACCGTTTTTTCGGGCTCCGTCCGCCTTCTGGGCAGAAAGTGGGCCTGGGTCGGGCTAGGCGCTTTTATACCAAAGGGAAGAACAAGTTTTGGTTGCCTTGCCCCCTAACATTCACACCCCAGCGTACCTCCCCCCACCTTTCCGCCCTAGTTTTAAGGTGCGGGAGCACTATCCTCTCTTCCCACCGGGAGCTGAATCACTTCGACCCCCACCCCCACCCCCAGATCCCAAGAGAAATTCCGTGAAGCGAAAGCCAGGGTGGTACCATCCCAGCACCATCCAGGGAGAGAGTCCTTACCTCGATGGGGCTGACGGGAGTGGAAGGCAGGGGCTGCAGATACTCGGGGTGCAAAATGTGGCCAGTCCGTGAGGTCAGCATCTTCAGCACCTTGATGGGCAGTCGGTTAGCCTGGCGGAGAGGGTCAGAAGGGGGCACGGCGTGCACAAAAGGCTTGGTGCAGCCGGCCGGGGACGAGCCTGGGCCGGGGCCGCAGCTATTTCCAGAGAGCGCGCTGGTCCAGGCAGGGTCCGCACCGCCGCCGCCGCCGCCGCTTTGCTTACTGCTTCTTAGGGCAGAAAGCGAGGGCGCTGTGCTCATGACCCACCCGCGCGCATGGGAGCAGCGGGGGGAGGGCTCCCGGAGGCGCGGGGCGGGCTCGGGGCTGCGCGCTCGCCCGGGGAGCAGGAGCAGCAGAAGGAGGAGGAGCTGGCGCCGCGGCCACCAGCGCCCGGCGCGCCTTCTCCGCTGCTGGAGCCAGAAGCGAATAATCCTGGGTGGCTCGCAGCGGGGCCGTGGCCGACCGGGCAGAGCCGGCCCGACTGCGGGGCTGCGGGGTGGC